TTGTTTTCAAAGAAGACTTACATTTTTGATATATGTGTGTATTTATTTAATGCTTCATATTCTGATGGTGTGATTGAAAAGAGGTAGTTGGGTTAGAGGAATTGAGAAAAGGGGAAAAGCTTTGGAAAAAGTCTCTGAGGAAAAGGGAAGGAGTTAATTTGCTTCCAACAGAACTCTCACAGGCAGTGTTGAGGCCCAGCCTCTGGCCAGACTGGAAGAAGAGAATAGTATTAACATATTAGAAGCCTCCTTAGGCCAATTAGGGAACTTAGTTATGAAAAATGAGAAAAATCACTTAAATGCAAATGAGAAAGTGTAGTTTTTTATAATAAGAATAAACAGATTTATAAGGCAATGTTTAGGGAACTTGCGTACTATATGAAAAGACTCGCATGTATGTAAGTCACTGGTTATTGAAAAATTAAAGCACTTCATATCATAAAAGTACATTTCAGAAGACACTGTTAAGAAAAAGAAAATAAAAAGCACCCAAAAGTGCATAGCTAGAAATAACAATCAATATTTTGCAATATGTATTTCTAGAATGTTTCCAATGTATATACCAATGTAAATCATATAACAGTAGTTTTTGATAAACCCAGGGTGCCTGAAGATAAGTGATATGAGGCAGATTACTATGCCTAGGCCGACATTTCTTAGCTTGCAGTGTGGCAAAGTAGGAACAGCTGATATTTTCATAAACTGGCTCCATTTCTGGGTTTCTTTTGAACATTGTCATCATTGTTTTGCTGATATCGCCTTCTTTACCAAGGTCAGCAGGCCATAACAGCTGGTACAGCCTCATTCTTGATGGCCTAATTAAATATTTCACATAGAATGCATATGCCATCTGCTTAGGTTACAGATATAGTGACCCAAATAATAAACTGAATTGCATGCGTGTGCTTTAGCTGATCTAGAGATGAACACACATTTTTTACACAGTGGGGAAAATGCTGGGCTCACATGATTTAAAAAATGCTCCTGATCCTGCCCCCTGTTAGTAGGATTGGCTATTTATCATTAGGGATTAGTGAATTTTGCTTATGCGTCCATATGTATCCCATTATACATAAATATGTAGAGGGCAGGGGAGGGAGAGAGGGCATTCTGAGCTTGTAGAAATGAGTAAATTCATTAACTTGTCTCTAAAAAAATGTATTTGTTACTTGATATAATCATATTCTGTATTTAGTCATGAAAATAATTCTGTATAATGTGGGGAAAAAATAAAGAAACATGAAGGGCAAGAGTCCTTGTCCCCAGGAACAGATGTTTTTAGAAAGACTTGCAGTTCTGAGATTGTGCAGAGATTTAATGTTTCACTTCTTGACAATTTGATAAGAAATTTCTATTTCCATCATGAGGTAGAAGAGAATAGAAAGGCCTAGATTTGATTCCATATGACTTGAGTAACTTAAACTCCGTGAACTTCAGTTTCAGCTCTAATAAAATGGGACTTATAATATCCACCTCACAAGGTCGTTTGGAGAACTCAATCAGATATATGAAGAACAAGAGGCCTGCTATAGTTTCTGGACATGTGTTGGCTCTTCCCAACGTAGTGGGCAATGTTCCTTCCTGCCTAGCCTCCACATCCCTCTTCTAAGAATATAAGCCCCAACTTTGTGTTGGATAGCTTTTCTTCCACCTTTGGATTAAGGCTTGCTTAAGTGTTGCTTGAGATCTCTTAGTGAACATACAACCCGAGCAGTCAGTCAGGTGTGCTTTTCTGAATCTTAAGCGCTATCTCAAGATGCTGCAAATATGTAGAATAGTGTCCCTAAGACAAGAATATCCAGTAGTTCAAACTATATCTTAGAATATTTACTCTTTAAAAAATTTAATTTAGCTAGCTGTTTATATCTAAAGATTCTTGACAGATATATTTAGTTAGGAATGATTTCATGAGTTGATACATTAATTTGTCTGTTGATTACATTCCTCTTTATACATCCAATGCTAAGTATTAGAGTGCATTCCAGAAGAGGGAGGTTAGGTTTCCTGTTCCCTCTGCTCCCTCGTTTAGTCATTTCACAGAGGGCATAAAGTCCTAGTTTAGTAACTCATATAGAGTAAGCCAGATGCATAATCCCAAATTAAAGTTGATATCAGGCATAGTGACAGCATTCACCAATGCCCTGTTAGCTAATTGTAATCTTTTGAAAGACTTGCTATTATTCTCATTTGTTTCACTTAATTTTGTTTTTTTTTTTTTTTGTTCAGTTCTGTCTAAAACAAGTCAGTCGTTTTTATTTAAAAGTTGGTGACACTAGAAAATTCTGAGCATTTGCTAAAAATTGTGATCTTTGATTATCATACTGATGATTTATTTCTCTGTTTTATGTTGCTATGAGAGCATTGAAATAATTTAGAAGTGCCAGAGGCATTGCTGGACCAAGAAGACAAACTTTTAATGACTGTCTTAGATGGTAAAATATTGCAGTTGTGCATGAATATTCATTTGAGAGGCATGCATTGATAGGAAAGAAGCTGTAAATCTTATTACATGTAATTTTTTTAAGATTTATTTATTTATGCATACAAGAACTGGGGTACAGGCCAGAGGTATGGGGGGTGAGAGGATTCACCAGAGACAGAGTAGAGAACAGAACAGGCAGGCTGACTGAAATACACTGCTGAGGGGAGTAGAGGCTAAATAGGAGAGGTCTGCTGCACCATGTGGGTAGCTCCCTGGCCAGGGATCAAAGTCATACTGCAGAGGCTGCGGGTAGCTTCACAGCACTGTGCTTAACCCCTTATACCACCAGGTAGGCCCAACATGTACACTTTTTAAAGAAATAATTCTCTAAAACCTGGGCATTTTTTATTAAAAGTATCTTCAGATATTTTCATCAAATTTTGTTCCCTTATAATAAGTTTTGTCTGTGGAAAGAAAATAGGATTTCATTGGCCTCATCTAAATATTAGAAGTAAATAGGTAGTTCTCCTATCTTGTGAAATTGCTGACAGCTCTTAAAGTTGGTCTGCACTTTGCTCAGAGGCATTAATCACATTGCTGGTTACATCTGTTCTTGGGAAAGAGAACCTGTCTTGACTGAATAGAGATCAGGTTGCCAAGCACTTATTTCCACTGTTATTCAGAGCAACACACTGATCTGATCATTACTAGACATGGCTACCCTGTGGAAAGAAGCTAATGGTTGGTTGGGCCTTATTTATCTTATTTTCTCTTCTTTGGAAACAAAGATTATGCTGAAAATAACTGAAGTTGGGGCCTGTTGGTGATATACTGTGAACAGGGAAAGCACATAGCTAGTAAAATTCGTTGTAGACGGTTCAGCTAGACTCAAATTCAAGTTAAAGTGCCCCCCCACTCTTTAGCACAATTACTATATCAAACAAACCTATTTTTAGCACAAACCAAAAATGGCTTGTAATATAATTAAGAACTGGAAAGATTATATAACTTTTAAAAGTAATCTTTCAATTTTACAACAGTTTAGATATAAAGGAATATTGTGAAGATTACAGATTTCCCCTCTCATGTACAATTTACCCTATGATTAATAGGTAATATTAGTATGTACATTTGTTACAATGAACCAGTATTGATGCTCTGTTATTAACTAAAATGCATGCTTTGTCCAGATTGCCTTAATTTGCTCTTAATTTCCTTTTTCTGTACCAGGATCCTACAAAAGACACCACGTTAGCCTTGCTCATCATGCTGCCTTAGGCTACTCTGTGATGGTTTCTCAGAGGTTTTTTTAATGATCCTAATAGTTTTAGGCAGTTCTATTTAGGTATTTTGTAGAATATCCCTAAACTGGAAAGAAAGTAAGATTTGTCTAAAAATTTCTCATGATTAGAGTTTTGAAATTGGAGGAAGATCACAAAAGTTTAAGCCCCATTTTTATCACAAAGATACGCATTATCAACATGACTGTTAAGGTAGACCTTGATCACCTGACAGAGGTCGTATTCTGAAGTTTCTCCATTGCCAAGTTACTTCCCCACTTTGATACTGTCCTCTTTGTTGTTTTTAATGATATTTGTTATTGAGGTAATGTTGATTTACAACACTGTATGTGATTTAAGGATAACAGTCCAAGTTCTTTACATGGATATAACCACATCATGTCCACTACTAAATTACCCTTAATCCTTCACCATTGTCCATTGGGCCCCATCCTCTCTTTGTCCCCCACGCTCAATCCTTGCCTTCTGGTAGCCTCAATTCTGCAGTAAGATTTGTTGGGTTTGTTTTGGTTTAGTTTTCTCTTTTCCTGTTTTGTTTCTTTATAGTCCACATATCAGTGAAAGCATCCAATATTTGTCTTTTTCGTCCTGATTTATTTTACTTAGCATAATCCCCTCCAATTCCATCCATGTTGTCACTGATAGCATGATTTCATCTCTTTTTTTTTCATAGTTGATTAATTCTAATTTTTCTCTGAGGTAATATTGATATACAATTTTACATTTTACTTCTCTCCAGATGCATGTCACCACACCACACCTCCCCCCATGCCCAACTTCACCCCCCCGCCTCTGGTAGCCCAAATTCTACAGTCATATTTCTAGGGTTTGTTTTGGTTTCATTTTGTTAGTTCCTTTGTTTTGTTTCTCTATATTCTACATATGAGTGAAATAATCCACTATTTGTCTTTCTCCTTCTGACTTATTTTATTTAGCATAATCCCCTCTAGTTCCATCCAAATTGTTACAGATGGCAACATTTTCATCTTTTTTTTAATAGCTGATTAATTCTTATTCAAAGCTGCCTGAGCTTCTATACTGAACAGTGATATTTCTGTTTAATGTTGTTAACTAAAAGTGTTAAAATAGTAGTTTTTGATTTGTTTTTCTTTGGAGAAAGAATGCTCTATTGTAACTAGGAACATATGCTTTCTAAGAATTTGCACTCTTACAGTTGTATAATTATCTTTGTAAATTTGCCTTGATAAGCTTTCAAGATAATTTTTAATAACTTTACATAATGCACTGATTTCCTGAATAGAGATTGAGAAGAGAACCTTTTGTCATTTTTCTTTTATACTGGGTCTTCCACTTAGTTCATTTGGATTAGAGGTAGCAATGCAAACAAGTCAGCAATCAAATCTAACCCATGGAACCTAGACATTTACTATCTTAAACACACAATCAAAATAAAAAAGACAAACTTCAGTATCTGTTGTCAGGAGTGATTTTCAGAACAGTCAGTAACTGTCAGTAACTGTCATAACAGTCAGTACCGGTCAGTCAGAACAGGATAGCCAGAAAGTACCAAGACACCATGTCAGGGGCATTCTAGAAACATTACCTCTGCCCTGTCCTAAAAAAAACTGCCTATGATGAGAGAAGTTTTGGTGTAAAAATAATATGAAGTAAAAAATCTTTTAAAAATCAATATTTCAAACCCATGTTTATATGAATGGTTAATTTACAACAAAGGTACCAAGAGTATACAATGGATCAAGGAAAGTCTCTTTAACAAGTGATGTTGGGAAATGTGAAAGAAATGACTCTAGACCATTATTTCACATCATGCACAAAAATTAACTCAAATTAAGTTAAAGAGTTTGATATTATACCTGACACCTAAAATATATAGAGAAAAAACTTAGGCAAAACACTCCATGCCATTGACTTCAGTGATGTCTTTTGGGGCTGGACTCCAACAGCAAGCAAAATAAAAGCAAAAATTAACAAATGGGATGCATCAAATTAAAGCACTTCTGCACAGCAATGGAAACTACCATTAAAATAAAAAAAAACACTTTTGGATGGGAAGAAATATTTGCATATCATATAGCTAAGAAGGAGTTAATAATCCAAGATCTACAAAGAACTTGCACAAATTGACAAGAAAGTCCAACAATAAAGGGCACTATCCCAGCCAAAGCTAGGACAGATCTAAACAGGCATTTCTCTAATGGAAACATGCAGATGGCCAACAGACACATGAAAAATGCTCAGTATCACTTACCATCAGAGAAATGCAAATCAAGACACAATTAGATACCACCTCACATCAATGAGAATGACTCATGTCAAATGACCAACCAGAAACAACAAGTGTTGGTGATGATGTGGAAAAAGGAACCCTCTTATATACTGTGGGTAAGAATGTAGACTGATGTAACCTCTATGGAAAGAGCGTGGAGGTTTCTCTTAAATGTACCATATAACCAGAAATCTCTTTCCCAGATATCTAAGTGAAAAATATTAAAAACCTAATTTGAAGGGATATATGCACTCCTATGTTCATTGCGGCACTATTTATGACAACTCAGTTATGGAAACAACCTCAGTGCCCAAGGAAACATAAATGTATTATTAAATATATTAAACATAAATATATATTATATAATAAATATATTATAAATATATTATTAAGTGTGGTATATACATGAACAGTGGAATACTGTGCAGATATATAAAAGGTGAAACCTCTCCATTTGAGACAACATGGATGAAACTGGAGGGGATTATGCTGAGCAAAATAAGTCAGAAGAGGGATGATATCAGATGGTTTCACTCATATGTGGAATATAAAGAAATATGGCAAATGATCAGACAAAGCCAAATCAAAACAAATTCTAGAAATCTGACTGTAGAACTGAGGTTACCGCAAGGGAGGATAGGAGTTGGAAAGCAAGATGGAAGGGGGTCCCAGTGGACTGTGGTAGAGCATTATTGGTGCTTTGGTTATGTGTGTGATGTGATAGCATGTATTTGAAAGGTGTGAATCTATATCCTGAAAACATAAAGTGCTGTAATCTGTTACCTTAATAAAATTGCTTAATAAAATCAGTGTTACGTCTACAAAGGGAGTTTTTGAAAACACAGAAATCACAATAAAATTTATATCACTAACATTTAAAATAGTGTTGCCCTCTGTGTGGCAATATATTACCCTCAGAAATTCCCCTTCATATTTTCAAGGTAAGAAGCAGCATATTATCACAGGCAGCCAACCACTGCAGCAGCTGATATCAGAGAGGTCTGAATCCTTGATTAAAATCCAGTAAAATTAAGAGTATTCAGGGCCTCCCTGGTGGCGCAGCGGTTGAGCTCTGGGTTGCGAGGCTGGCTGCAGCCTCTGCAGCACCGGTTCGATCCCCAGCTGCTCCCCGGCCACTGGAGGACGGTCCCGCATGGCGCGCAGACCTCTCCTGCCGCCCGCTGCTCCCCTCAGCAGTGTACTTCGGTCCTTCTGCCTGTTCTGCTCCCCGCTCTGGCTCTGGTGAATTCTCTCACCCTCCTGCACTTCTGACTGTACCCAGTGCTTGTATAAATAAATAAATAAATCTTTAAAAAAAAAAAAAAAAAGAGTATTCATACAACTTTCCATCCAGCTTTTGACCTATATGGTATAACTATTATGTGCAACTATGAAAATCAAGCATTTCTTCAAGACTTAGTTTCTTCACCTGTATCTGCCCAGTACCACACTGGGATCTTGTGAGGATTAAATATAATAATAATACAGTCATTCGTGAAGGTTCCTTATTCCAGCAGCAGTATTACCAACCTGGAAACTTATGCAAAATACAATCTTGAGCTCCAGCCCTACTATAATAGTACAGCCAAACAATGATATATTCCAGTGACCAGCAGGGTAATAATTTAGTGAGCATTATTTGTGAGAATAGGGAAAGTCTGGACACAGGAGGCAGAATTTAGAAGAAATAGAAAGTATTATAATATTGTTTCAGGTGTGTTTGTGTATTATTTCTTGTTGAGTATGTCATATGGTCTAGGAATTCCTGGGACATTTGTGTTTTGGAGGCAAAATTGTTAATCTGCCTGTGCAAGTGACAGAATGATGTATTACTTTGTAGGTGACTGAAATAGAGTCCAGATGCACTTAAGCATTTATGAAAATTTAGCTATTGTCTAAGTGCCACATTCCATTATATGGGTGAACATTAAAGAAGTACTTTCAGACTTAAAAGAAAATCTAACTGATATTGAACTGTATGTAGTTCAAGGATAACTTTTTTGGTTTGATAATGACATTGTACTCATTAAAAAAAATTACATTCACTTTCAAAAAAGCATTGTTATTTATAATTACATCACAGTCACACAAGTTCTTCCTATCATCTGGGCTGAAACAAAACCTCAGTAGCATAAAGTTAGGACTGGACACTTCCCTGTTGTCACACTGTATGTGGCAGGATCATTTTTCCAGGATTGCTACAATGTTATTTTATCTGCATAACACTTCTTTAAAATCAAAATATATACCACATACTCAGGAGAAGTTGTGATGTAATTGGTGCTTAAAGACTTGAGCTCTGAGCAGGCCAAGTATAATGTATAAAAGTGCAGAGACCAAAAATGGGTGCCATTAAAAAAGTTCAAGCCTACAGGAGGGGTTCTAGTTAGAGCTTTAGTTAAGCGAATTCATCCTCATTGTGCCAGAGAGACCAAATGTAATTCTAGAATCTAGATATTCTAGATATTTTTGTGTTCATCTTCAATGTGGAGATAGAACAATAATGTTGTCAATAGAGCTTTCTTTTTTTTTTTTTTTTAAGATTTATTTATTTATTTATACAAGCACTGGGTACAGTCAGAAGTGCGGGAGGGTGAGAGAATTCACCAGAGCCAGAGCTGGGAACAGAACAGGCAGACCAATGAAATACACTGCTGAGGGGAGCAGTGGGCGCGGCAGGAGAGGTCTGCTGTGTCATGTGGGACCCTTGCCCTCGGCCGAGGATCGAACTGGTGCTGCAGAGGCTGTGGGCAGCTTTGCAGCCCAGTGCTCAACCTCTGCGCCACCAGGGGAGGCCCTGTCAATAGAGCTTTCTATGAAGAACAAAAAGCTCTCCATCAGTGCTGAGCAGTATGATATAATTTGCCACTTATGTCTCCTGAGCACTGAAAATACGGTGAATGTAACTGGTGAATGGAAGTTTTAACTTAATTCAATTTTAAATTTTAGCTTTGTATGGCTAGTGTCTGACTTTTAGATAGATAGCTATTTTGTCACATCTATTTTTGTGATAATTCTGAAAACTTATGACATAATCGATGCTCAAAATTTTATTTTTCCCCTTTATGAAGAATATAGTTCCAATCACTTTCTTTACATTACTATCCAGAGGAGGACCAATCTTTTGTTTTAACTTTCCCAGGCAGCATCACTGTGCATGTATCTCTTAAATTTCAAGATGGAATCAGTGACCCTTAGTACTATGTAACTATAGAAAAGTAAATGAAAAGTATACCTTTCTTAATTTTGTGTGCCCCAAAATGAAAAGAACATAGATGATAAATTTGTTCCATTTTTTCTCCAGCATGGGATTGGGTGAGCATGATTGCGGGTGCTTTGCTACTTTTGCCATTTTGGTGTCTATTTTCCCTCTTTAATAAAAGGGAGAGTTTTAAAAAGTTTTGAAATGGAAAATGTAGATAGAGAAAAGCAAGAAAAGAAGATCTAGAGTTAAAGAAGGAGAAAAAGAAAGAGAAGTACTCACAGAGCTGAGAGTACCACAATTGCATTTTGCAACTTGGAAGACCTGACTGCTTGTGGGTCTGGGTTTTCTGCTCTGGGTTCCTGCTGACTCCTTCTGGAAACTCTGAGACAGTTAGAGCAGGATGTGTCTTCCCTTCTTTTGCTTTGTTGTTGTTAACTGCAGATTCTTGACTTGGGTCTTGTTTGTTACTTGGAAGAGGACAGATATAGTAGTTGCAGGCAGGGTGCCTGGGGTGGCATTGCTGTCTGTACAACACAGCAGGTCAAACCACTAAACCACTCCTGAAGCTGCTCTTTCCTGCTCATCCAGGCTCTAGTGTTGCACGTTACAGCGCCTGCATCTTTTTCTGAAGGGCACATTCCATATTCTGAAGATGTGCAAATCAGAATAGTCCAATTTTAAGCTCCAGATAGTTGCTAATGTAGCTTTTGGGGAGAAATCTTTTCATTCTTTCTATGCCTCTATAATCTTATTTGTTAATTTATTTCACACTTCTTCCCCACTTTTCCATCTCATTTACTTCAGACATGAATATTCCGAGTCATGTACTTTCAAGTCATCTTTATTTTGTCAGGGACTGCAGTGAGGAATTCCCTTAACTAGAAGTAATAAATGAGATATGAAGATAAAGCTAGACGAAGAATATTCTTATTGAGGGATTTTTTGTTTGACATGTTTTATTTAAATGTTCTATTTATTTAAATAGAATGTAGAATGAAAAAATAA